TTTGTGTATGTAATGTATATATGACCCTACCCTGTTCCATTAATATTTTCTATGGACCCTACCATGGAATATACCAAACATTAAAAAGCTGATTGAGAAAATCTGTTTCAGGGTCTTCAAAGTAAGGTCTTGATATCATCTTGTTAAAACTACAAGAACTGCCTTTATTAAAGTCTCTCTTGTAGGTGTGTTTGTATTTTCTCCTACCTCTACAAATGTGACCGTGATGTTCCCAACTGGAGCCGGGGTGGAAGTGCGACTGAGAGAGGGAACCATGACGACCACGGTGCTCCTGCCAGAGGAGTTCAAAGACTCCACTCTCGGGCTGCTGGGAAAGATGAACGGTGACGCCATGGATGACCTCGCTCTCAGCAATGGTCAACTTGTGCAGAACCACAGCAATCCAGAGGAGCTGTTCAGTTTTGGGGCGAGCTGTAAGAAATTATTCACAACATAGATTATGTGCTGATGTGATATGTGGATATAAATTACATTAAGATTATGTTCTTTCACCAAGACTTGGATTATGTGATGAAAACAATAAATATCACCAACATAATGACAAACAACATACTGGAGCTGATTGAATTTAGGCAAATAATAATAATAATAAATTTACTTAATACTTAAAATTAAGCAACTATGAGAGTAAGATCAGGACTTTGGTTTAAAAGGGCAGACTGCACTAATGAATGTATTCCTTACTCACACTTAAGAGTTAAATTCAAGAATTAAACGCAGGTCACCAAAGTTTAAGGTCCTTTCGTCACCCCATTTCTTTGTCATACTGATTCCTGTTTTAAGTCATGTCCCCTTTATGTTACCCTTTCATGGTGGGAAAATACAGAATTCTCATTTAATAAAATATCTGCAAATTATGTTGCTCAGTTTTCACTTTTCACTTTCGTGGTTTTAAGTGTGTGTCTTTCTTTTTGTGTTACAGGGGCTGTCTACAACAAGTCTGCCTTGTTCACATATGATTCAGAATATCTTTTGGAAGAGTATTACTATGGCCCCAGACATGACCTTCATTTTGTTCCAGTGTTTTCTGTCCCTGAGAGTCCAGATGATCCATTAGCCAGTCAGGCATCTGAGATATGCTCTGGAGAGGGCTCCCAGTTCTGTAGGTATGTAAAGAAATAACTTACTAATGAAAGTACTGATGGTTCTGCTTTCAACTTTATGTAAATGCAAGAAATTTACATTGCTGTGATATATATATATTGTTAACTACAGCAGCTCGTTTTATGATCAATACCTCTGTCCTGTAGGTATGATATCCTGGTAGGTCGTAGTCCAAGAATGGGAAATGCTACCAGGGTGTCTTTCCAGAGTCACATTTCTCTTGTGCAGGATCTAAAGCCAGGTGAGTCAATGAAAATGTCTAAGAACATTTACAGTGAGTATTGTGTACTGTACATTTACTTGGTTTCACAGCGTAAGTCACTGTTATACTGTGCAGTGATATCCTGTGGTTGGCTTTCACCACCAACAAATGGGATGAAGAAGGGGACCACATATTTACAAGGAGCTAAGGTGCAGTTCTCCTGTGATGACGGCTATACTCTCAAAGGATCAGCAGAGCGCATCTGCCAGGGCAACGGCCAGTGGTCTGGAGAAGAAACCAACTGCATGATTCCCAGTACGAATAAATGAATAAGTCACTCTTGTACAACTATTTTGATTCACAAATCAGCAGTGAGTGTCTGTATTTGATGTGTATGTGTGTGTGTTAGTGTGTGACTTTGTGTGCCTCATTTGATCCATCAAATCAGTTCAATGTTGAAATGAACAAAAAAATCAAATCACTGTCATGATTTTTTTACCTAAATATTTGTGTAAGTGGGAAATAATTATAAGACCATTAATTCTAATACAAATGCATACATCACATTTGAAACACAAAGACTTTTGCAGTGGGACATCTCTATAGGTTGTCTAGTTAATCTGAGGGACTTCTTCCTTAGCCTTAGCCAAACCTATAAGCAGCAGAGGTGACGTACTGCGAGTTGAACTGCTCTCATTGGCTGCGTGGTTTTGACTCGTCAGTAGCAGGAAACAAGACTGACAAAGTAGCCACGCTCTAAAGCATACCCTTTATAAGCATATAGCTTTATCGTCTATTTTACTCTAAATGGGAGACACGTGTTGGCTTCACTTCATAGAGCCAGAAACTCTGTTCATTATATATACTGTCCAAATGGTCCAAATTCATAAGCGCAAAATGGGGATAAATTTTGGGTTTGGTGGAAACATAAATTGGGGTCAATCAGGAGAATCAAAGCATAGGGCCAGGTTTACATTGCTAGTTGTACCAGCTTAGACTAATGTAACCTATGATGACATCAGCGAATCAAATCAGAACGCTTTCTAGTCTAATGTCCGTCAATGTTTTTGCCGTAACATCTACATTACGTTTTAAGAGA